AAGCTTTGCAGGACGTGTTCTGTTGGAAGATCCGGCGATTTCGTGGGACATGTTCTATTGGCAGAGTCGTTTGGATTGGAATGGTGGATGATATAGTCTATTGTTAGCACAGGGGTTTTGGTTTTTCTGTCTGCATTTTTGTCTGGCAATGATAGTCGTGTCGGGGATTTCGTAGATCGTATCTCGCACCGAGCAGGGGTGCTGTTAGGGGTGCTCGGCAGAGTATACTGTCTACGGGGCCTCGATGTATTGACGGACGTGCTGCATGGCGATGGTGTGGCCTACCGCATGTCTCTCACTCTCTAAGCAACAAGGTCTTGAGTCAACCTTCTTTCTCTTTCGGCCTCTGACGAGCTACCGCACCCAAACACGTTGTTACCGTTTTTCTGTTTTGACCTCTGTTTTTTTTTGCGGTAACCATAATGGTGGTCGAGTAGGTCATGTTGTGCGGGGTGCAGCACCCCCACTCCGCGCAAGGGGGATGATCGCACCACGTTGTGTTATAATGGTCAAGCACCCTCGAGGCAGTTACACAGTGCTTACAACTGTCTGTGGAAGTGGAAGCACCAGCAAATAAATAAAGTCAAACGCAGCGGTCATCCGTCTACAAGGAAGAAAGCACAAGATGCCGAACACCCTTCGCAGGATGCAGCGCACCCTTAATGCGACTCGCCGAATACCTCACGGCGCTTCGCGCTTGGTGATGTGAGAGAGCCTGGTCCGGTGAGAACCCGGCGTGCTCCGTCCCGGCTTTGTAGGGATGCGAGGTCAACGGTCTAACGACAACGGCATGCACGACTATGAGTACCCCCCCCCCCCGTCGCTGCACCATTGCACCAACCCCCCTGGAACAATGACGTGCCTTTTTGCTGTCTCCGGTGGCCCGTTTTGTGTTCTGTTGTTGTTGTGTCGTCTTGTCGTGTGTTGTTTGTTGGTTTGTCCCTGCGTTTTGACTCTGGCGTGCATCTTTCTCTTTTCCCTTTTCTCGCTCTGCTCTCTTCTTTCTTTGTTTTCTTTTTCTTTCATTTTTCCAGTCTATGGCCTCGCAAAGCGTGCGAAGGCGAGCGGAGTGTCCTAGATTATCTGTGGTTGATTTATGTTGACTTGCGGCCCCTTCGAGTCCATTGAATTTTCGTATACTCCGAGTACCTTTTTGTGGTAAGGTAGCCTGTGACCACGGGAATCGACCGCGTTAAAGATTGACTAGTACGGACAGAGAAGGTACTGGGTAGAGAGAATGGAACGAACAAAGTCAAGACAACAACAACAACAACGCTATTCTGGACACCGCACGAACCAACCCACACTCAGTGTCGAGAAAAGATGCTTATACAGGACCCTGCCAAAGATGACCTTGAGCCCCAACATGAAAGACTCACGTACCCAACACGCACCACCCGTTCACTCGATCACTCCAAACAGATGAAAACTTCTTACCGGAGCGTTTGGGATACTTCGCCGCCATCGCAGCGTTTAGGCGTTGCAGCAACGGCGGCAGCAGCGAGGACATCCACCAACACAGCAGTGCTTCGACGGCGGCTATCAGACTCACTTCGTCGGTTTGGTGGCTCTGGAGCCCACGACGTCTGACCTAAACAACAATCGCTAAGAAGCAAGGCGGCGTTGGCGCCAGGATGGACCCCCCAGCTCGAACTGTTGCCCATGGTTGCCCGGCAGATATCTTTCAATCAACACAGTCTTTCAACTGTTCTAGTCCAACACGCAGTAGACTTCTTCGTGCTGAAACCACTCCCTCGCAATTCCGCGCTGGGCACTTCGATGAAAACACTGACATTTGCAAGTGGGCCCGTGCTGACTGTTTTACCTATTTGCGCGTACCCGCAATATTGTACACCACAACCCCGGACAGGGCGATGGCTGTGCCGCCGAGCTGCCGTCCGGTCATGACCTCTCCCAGGAATAAAATCCCACTCCCGAACATCACCACCCTCTTCACCGAATTACCCACTGCGTGCCCCACGGGACTGAGGCTGGCGAGGAGGTTGAACGACGCGAAATTGTAGCCGACGAAGCAGAGGGCCGCGTTGACGCCGTCCATGCTCAGCCAGCTGCTGTACTGGTGCCGTCGGTCAACAGCAGTAACAGCCGCGCCACCAGCTGACCGTGCCGCTTCTCCTACTACCCCCGTCGTCACTTGCACCAACTCTTCCGGTCCCAAAAGGAGGTCATCCATGCTCCTCATCATGAACCTGAGCACCATCACCGTGACGCCCACGGCCGCCGCGGCCGAACTGCAGGCGAGCAGGGTCTGGTGAGGCGGGATCGGGTCCCTACCCTTAATAACCACGTTCCGGAGGGCGTTGAAACAGACGGCCGCCACCGTGAAGATAGCGGACACGATAATAGGACTGGCCGCCCCTCCCCCCCCGGACGTGGCTCCGTGTCCTTCCCCTTGGCGGCTCTTCCCGCCGTTGCTCTTGGACGTCAGCAGCAGTATCCCTCCAACGATGAGAGCGAAGGAGGCCATCTTGGTGAGGGGAACGCTCTTGCCGAGCAAGAAGTACGAGAAGGCCGCCGCAGCCACCGGCTCCATGGCCTTGAGCGCGTTCGTCGCAGCAACCCCGCCGACGAACACGGAAAAGTTAGTTAGTACGGCTTGGCCGGTATGGAGAACCGCCGCTATCCCGGACCGCCTGCTTGCTGCCACCACCTGCTCCGCAATGCCCCGCAGGCCTGCCGAGCTGCCCGATGGTCGTCCAAGAGAGCACAGAACCACGACGCCCGTCACACCCTGCAGCACCAGCAGGCCGATGGGGTCGTGCGTATCCCGCAGGTATCGCTTGCTGTACGCGCTGAAGGTCACCGCCAGACCTATCCAGAGGAAGAAATTGAGCACGAAGAGGAGCTTCGAAGGTCTACTTGAACTCGTCCCGTTGGCCACGCTCTTTCCGCCCGACACGCTTCGACGGGTCGGCGCCAGCAAGGAGGGAACCGTCGATCGCCCATCCGGTACACCGAGCTCGGAATCCACTTGGGCGATGCCGCTCGTGCGGCCATTGTGGGACGCAACCTTGTCTAGTTGGGCGTGGGAGTCATCAGAGGCCCCGATTGCGGTGGTTTCAAGAGTCTCGTCTACATGAGTAGATTTGGGTGACCGCCGGCGTAGGCTTGCACCGCCGCCGGGACCGTCCGTTGACTGTAGACCGGACAGCCCGACGATGGCGAAAATCAAGCATGTCGCGGCGAGGTAGTCTTGGCCGATCATCGTCTTAGGGGACACGTCTGGGCCGGGTCCTGACGAAGTAACGCAGACGAGGGGAGTGACGAGGGAACGGCGTTAGTTTCCTTAAAAATAATTGGTGTTGACGTAAGTGAGACACGCAGCGGACAAAAGGACCAAAAACCCCCGTACGCAAGGAAGTAAGCACAAGATGCCGAACACCCTTCGCAGGATGCAGCGCACCCTTCATGCTGCTCGCCGAGTATCTCGCGGCGCTTCGCGCTTGGTGATGTAAGAGAGCCTGGTCCGGTGAGAACCCGGCGTGCTCCGTCCCGGCTTTGTACGGATGCGAGGTCAATGGTCTAACGACTACGGCATGCACGACTATGAGTACACCTCCCCCCTCTTTTCTTCAGTATGTCAACCGGGTTTAGTATTTTTTCCAACAGGAGTGTTGCCAACACCGAGCGGTGCACCCATAAAACCTACGTCTCCACAACGGGCAGGGGGGAAAATTATCGCAATCCGACTTTGAAAGGACATGTGCTACATAGGTGTGATCAGATTGGGGAGTGAGGGGTGAATGGCAGTAAGGCTTTATGTACTACATGTGCTTCAAACAGGGTGCTGGTACACCCCCAGCAGTAGCACGCAATGCTGTCGACATCAACCTCCTCCGTGAAGAAAAAAATGGCTTCGTTCGAACTAGAATCACGGTAATCATGACGCACGGCGATGGAACCACCTGGTACAACATCCGAGAGTGTGACTAACTTGAAAGCTGAGCGGAGCAATGGTGAGCACGCTTGGAGATGGATGGGTGGCACGAACGTGCAAGGAACGGCCAAAAAATACGAGCACGCGCACCGCACAAAGAGCACAACTGCATCAGCGCTCTTTTTCTCTCATCAAAAGTTCGTGCCGAAGACAGCGGCTAAATGCTGAGGCTGCTGCTGCTGCTGCTGCTGCTGCTGCTGCTGCTGCTGCTGCTAGTGCAGCTACGACTGACTATCAACTCAACGACTGACAGCTAAGGTTTGACATAGTGTGCAACACGACATGTGCGCGAAATAGGAAGATTTGATACTGCGGTAGCTGACGTTTGGTGAGTGTGTCGAGCACTGCACATCTGGAAAATATTAGTGTGCACATTCGTGGGCATATTTTGTTCAACTCTTGTTTCATGGTGCTGCAATGCCGTCCCCGACGCTCATCGCACACGCGAAAAAAATCCCCTGTCGTTGATGTACTACACGGAGGCAAGTCTCCCAAGCGAGAAGGATTTGCAAACCGAGGTGCGAAAACTCAGCCACAGCGTGAAAAATAGACTTGGGGCACTAGGCCGCTTCGTCCAAACCGAGTAACCCAACGAGGCTCCTTGTTCAGATGATGTGCCGTCGTTTGTCGTTTTTCGGTGGTCTCGTTCCATCAATTATAGGCGCCAGTCTACACACGTTACTTTGATGTGGGATTCTGACGTATCAGCCGGGATCAGACGCTCAGAGGCATGTTTTTCGACGTTTTGTCCCACCTCCTTCGGTGATTGCGATATTTTGACCTCGAGAAGGATTCAGGGGTCTCTTTCCCTCGTCGACGGAAGTCAAAATTGTCCCTAAACATACATGTGCATATTGTGCCAGAATGGTACTTTTTACCTGTTTATGCTATTCTTAGGGTAATACCTAATAAAGTGGGAGGTATTCTTACTATGGGTGGTGCGATTGCTATTATTTCCTTATTAAATACTTCAATAATACGTAGTGCTAATTTTCGCCCAATTGATGCAGTAGTTTTTTGGCTTATTGTTGCTGCTTTTTGTTTACTTGCTTGGTCAGGAACTACTCCAGTGGATGATAACTTTAAAGTCATTGGTGCTGTTGTTTCAATAGGCTATTTTGATTTCTGTATTTTTGGTGGTTTATTCGTTGGATGGTTAGAAAAGACTTTAGCCTTGAAAGCTTTCTCTAAATAGTTTGTTTCTAGGGTAGTGCAATAGTTATTACCTATTACGTATATATTATGAAGATTCCACTCAAGAACATATTTTTAATGATTCCATTTCTATTTTTGCTAAGATATCCTTCATTACTTTCTTTTTTATAGGGCATGCTTGCATCATAGCAAACAACTTCTACCTCCTATTGAAAAGATTCAAAAGGTTTAAGATTTTGGGTAGAAGTCATTGAATCTGCTCGCTGCATGTGTTGACGGTCACTAAGCAAACGTCTCGTTCCCCACCAATTACGGAGAGAGAGAAATAGAGAGAGGGAGAGAGAGAGAGGGAGAGAGAAATAGAGAGAGAGAGAGAGAGAGAGAGAGAGAGAGAGACAGAGAGAGAGAGA